TGTTTTTATGCAAGCAACCTGCACATCTGTGCTACATATGAAAATGTAAAGTTTGTTTCCAGTGCCTGCTGTTTGTGAGTGATTCAGCTGAAAGAAGAATAAGTTACAAATGTTACAACTTTCCCAGTAGGTGAGGTTAATTGTAACAGATGATGAGGCTAGTTTTAACGGTCAGTCTAAATTATTGAATTAATTCAATGCAATTCTATGTTGTTTGAACAAAATGAGCTTTGATTCTAAATACCTAAATATAAAATATATCTTCACTGTCCAAAGAAAAACAAGTATCTCCAAAATACTTTTCAGAGGGCAAAAACACCCTTTACTTGTAATGCTCTTTAATGTGCAGAGATTTTATTACAAGCAATTTTGGAGCTTTTCTTTTGGTCCATTCATGATGAAGTGTTCACACAATATAAAGGGCAGCTGCTGAGCTCAAATGATATATAAAAATATGGAGATAAATATTTTTCTTTGGACATTGACAGTATGCATCTAAATGAATAGAATTGGTAAAAACAAAAAGAAAGGCTGTGCCAAACTCTGGCAAAATTATTTTTGCCCCCAAAGTAGAAGAAGAAACATATTTTATTTACATGACACAGTCTTTGATGAATCTGTGAATAAAAACATCCAGTTTGAAGTTAAATGAAGCTTCTCTCAATGTCTACTTTGTGGCTTAGTTGAAATGCTGTTAAAACTAACCCTCCTGTGTGGAGGCTGTACTTTATCCTGGTTAACTCACTGTGAGTTCTTTATTTGCTTCAAAATGGTGCAATATTACAACCACCAAGAGAGTACTTAAAATCATATTGGTGTAAAATCACATGGCATCATGAAAACAGTTACTTTTATGGTACAAAACTATAAAACAGAAATATCTTTCTGATTGCTCTCAAAATTCATAGATTATATTGCAAGGGGAATTCATAGTGATGTTGCTGGGGAGTATAATATGTAAAAATAATATAAAATAACCAGAAGCAAATTCTACTTGACCTTGTTTAACTACGTAAAACATCTGCATTGCCCCACTAGCTTGTGCCCTGCCCTCCCCAACATTGTTTGACAAAAGAATTATTACGTACTGAACATGGGTGCATATTAACATATTGAATTCTGTCCCTGCTTTAAACCAGATGCCACTCAAGATGGTGCATTACAGTTGAGGGGGCTGTAGGCATTTTACTTTAGTTTACTTTAGTTGTGCCTAAACAACACCCCTTAACTATGGTAAAATCACTGTATCCCATAGCCTCGTGGCTTACTGTTTTAACAATAATGGAATTCTGTGAAACCTAAAGGCCTTGTTTGTACTATGGAGCGGCTCTTTCAGTCACAGACCCTGCACTCTTGCTCCTGCTCCAGAGTGTAACTCCAGTAGGCCCAGACACTTCATCACTCCCTGTACGCATGTATATTTCTCCCTCAGTCTAACTTCCCTGTTAATGGGCTGTTGTGAGAGTGGGGAGAGGGCTGTGGACGGATGCAATCACGGCGTCCATGCTTTAAAACGGGCTGGTGCATCGTAAATCTCCTGCAGAGCGCTTTCCCCACTCCAGCTCAATCAGCGACTCAACTCAGCCCCTCCAGACGCCCGCTTTTTGTTTATTATGCCGCGGCTCAGTCAAAGGCGGATAGGGGCACTGAAGAGAGGAGCGGGCAGGTGCTTCTGACCGCAGGCTGGATGTGTTTATGTTTGGAGGAAGCTCTGGTGTACCAGATCACAGCGCTTAACCTCTCCGGCTTAACTCCCAGCAATTAGCACTGCTAATGAGAGCATGAGGCAGATTGCAGATTAAGTCCCTCATTTGTCCTCCCTCTGACGCTTTTTTGTTTCTGTTTTCTCTCTTTTGCCTTTGAGCTTGAACTTTCTCCATTCTTGCCATTTATTCCACTGTGTAACTTCTGTCTTTTTTCCACCTGTTTTTCACACGCAAGGTCTTTATGGACTGGGCTGGAAGTAAGGAAATTCTGTATTAGCACCTAACTTAACAGATTTAGTTTTTGTTATTGATCCTAACTCATGATTCAACACCTACTGTATAATTAACATGTTTGTTATGTAGTTATGAGAGTGAGGAATTAAAGATGAAACCCACATACGGGCCCTTAGAGTTTAAAGTAATTCCACAGAGCTTATCTATTTTATAAGATGCAGTAGGGGTGTTCTAGTTGTGCTGCTGATATGTTACCATTATTCAGTGCATATCTATGGCCATTTGTGTAAACCGTTCCTCTTGATGTGCACAGCGAGTAGAAAGAAAGATAAAAGGACATCGTCTAACAATTGCAATGGAGAGCGAGGAGTGACAAAACTCCACTGACTGAGTCAGTCAGTCATTTTATTGGCAAAAGAGCCTTGACGGTACCTCTCTCTGGCTCTCTCCTCCACTCTGCTGTCTTTCCAGAGAGTCCTACGAAGGCCAGAAATCTGCCATACAATAAGATCAACAGGGTTGATTTACACTCGCTCATTCAGTCCGGGATAAAAGAGTGGGTTTTTGCAAATCGAATGAAAACATGTCTGGACTATAGGTATAAATCAAAGTCTGGGCACACACATTCACATGCTGTTCAGTAAGCATTCGAATCATTAGTTGTGTGTCTGTGCTAACCACTGCTGTGGCTTCGAGTTTGAAATCGAGCATTTTGCTGAAGGAGGCCAAGAGCAGATATGCTTATGACTCCAGATCAAAGCCCAAAGCCACTGCTTATTTTCTTTCTGCTTCTATCTGTAAGGGAAATTGCGGTGCCCCTAATTCCCTTTAATTAAATGCACCAGCCTATAGCTATGTTTATCTATGATGGATTTGGTAATTGGGAAACACCTGTAATTCATCTTTCTGGGCAGTTATGATGAAGTGAATATAAAATATCATTGCTTTGCTGCTGAAATAATATGTCATTGAATTTGTAAATTGTGGTTGGGGTCTTAGGCAAATGCCCTCTGCTCTGTGGATGGAGAGCACTTATATGTCAAACCACTGTATCTTCTGACTAGGTCTTTCCTGTAAAACAAATATAAATATAAGGCTTGCACCAAAATGAATTAAATACAATGTAAATAGGCTTATAGTGCTGATTAATTTATCTAAAACAGTAACTGCTTCATCAGCTTCTTCAGAGTGTATATTCTCTTACTGTGGTGGCCGTACTTGGCACTAAGCTTTACATATATAATAAGTATAGCCCTGTACAGTACAGAATCTGACAGGAGAAGAGTGAGCTGCTGTTCAGCTCTGCTTCAGTGAGTGAAGCCCATCAGAATGTTAAGCCCAGCGTGAATAATGCTGAACTGAATGAACTTATTTTTTGAAAGCCTTGCAGTCAATGGTCAAATGGAGACTTTTCTGTTGACCAAATGTTTGTGTGTATAACTCTGCCAAACCATACAACACAGCAAGGGGAAGTTTATAGAGGCTGGGCACGCAACCAGAGAGAGAACCCAAGCAGTCAAGCAGTTGGCATTATGTAGAAGCCTTTAATCCTTTAATTCACCTGGGTAATGATGCTTTAATCTTAGCACTGTATGTCTTTATAGAATTTTTTTATCACTATATCACTATTTAATCTTTTTTTTTAATCTTAACACTTTATGTATAATGTAGCATTTTATGTTTTATGCTGTTTTTTTCCTTATTTTGTCACCCATCTTTGTGTGTGTGAATTCTTCCATGTTTTGTCGGTCCAAAATCTCACATAGGTGTTCAACTTAGTTGAGATCTGGTGACCTTGAAGGCTGTAGCACTTAATTTATGTCATTTTTATACTCATCAAACCACTCAGAGATCCCACATGCTCAATGGATGCAAGACCACTTCAATCAGGATAGAAATGTTTCCTCAGAAGACAAAGGTGATTAATTAGAATGTATAGATTTGCCATGACCATTCCTGGGGTCTCAAACTTCCACCCATGCAGGCCAAGAGACAGCTTCATACAGGCTGTCACACATTTCCCATTTATCTTTAACTCTGGCCCACAAACCATTTTTATTTTTAATTTTTCTGTGCCCTTACAAAAAAGTCCTGTAGGATTGTGAACCTTCATAAAGGAATCATGAGGGTATCCTGCAGGAATTGAGCAGGAATTTGAAATTCCAGCAGGTAAGACAGATACACCTGCAGGATCCCTATAATAGCACTAAACAAAATTAAATTTCAAACTAATTTTAAATCTTGCATGATTACTTTTTGATGAGCACAAAAATTGCCTTTTGCCTGAAAAAGTAAATTCATTAATGCATTTGAACATTAACACATACTTCGACCATTTATTCTTGTGTTGTCTTATTCCAACTACTCCAGGAAACTGATCACTGAAGAAGAATTGTCGAGATGAAACAATATGTGGGTATTTTTTTTTTTAGCAATGAGATATTTTCCTCTTTTGACCTGCTGGAAATTGTGAAGGAAGATCCAAGAATTCCCACGACAATTGTCCAGCTTTCAGGAATGCCACAGGAATTTTATTTTATTTATTTATTTTTTTATTTTCAATGATCACTGAAAATCCTGTAACACATCCCTGCAGAAATAGCCTGTTCCTGTTCCCCCCTTGACCCAGAAGGATAAGCGGCTTCCAGACACTGTGGCTGTTTACTCAAGCTACATAAAATCGTCTTAGATTTCTGCTCACAAAAGCAAAAATAGAGCGCTGCATGCAAGAGGAACCCTTCAAACACCTGATGCAGCATGAAGGCTACATAAGAAGCGGGCAGGTGTAACTTAGCTATAACTAACTTAGCCATTGTTCTAATTTAGAACGATAAACCAGCCTTTGGGGATTCATTCACTGAAACGTGAATGATACATCGTGTCAGAATTAGGAAAACTTTTCTTTGTTTTTTTCATTTTATTTTATTTATTTTTTTAATGATTCGCGTTTACAGCGCTCTGCAACCTTTTTGGTCCTTTCTGCTCTATGTTGTTTAACTGTATCCTAGCAACCGGGGTGCGCGTGTGTGGTTGTCGCCATAGTTACCGCGTAACGGCAAACGACCTGGGCAGCCAGAATAGCTGAGAGAGAGAAGGAGCGGAGAGACTCTCTACATCTGATCTTAATCTGGGTAATGCACAAAAAACTCCTATTATAACCTCATTAGCTACCTCAGATACCGAAATGTAGTACAGTAATGAAGCAAGTTTAATATCAACAGTTTCACATTCTCAGTCTTGCAGGCTAACGTTAGCTACGATAGAGAGGTTATAGTAAACTGACTTAACTGCATGTCTTCAAACTTAGAGTCGTTTTTTATTGTTTGTTTGCTTGTTTGTTCGTTTCTTTGTTCATTTTTAACCCAAACTGTTAACAAACAATAAAAGTCACCCGTAAACCTACTAGCTTTACTACCACTGACTAATAAACATAAGTTTCAAAAGTAATTTTTCTTTTTCCTTTTGTATAAAATGGAATTCCTTTAGCCGTTGTCCCGTCAGAGAGAGCTAGCTACTCTTTTTAGTGGAGAAGCAGAGCACACAGCAGTTTATGCACCTACATGTTGGCAGCAATGGGTTATTTCTTTCCCCACACCAGACAGAGAGTAATGTAGCACAGCGTTGCTGACTGACAAAGCTGCAACAAATTTATAAACACTTTCTTCAGTGGCTGTTTTTCTACGAAAAACATTGTGAAAGACCTGAAGCAGGAAAATCCTAATGGAAATATCTTAAAGGGTTTTGCTTGTGGTTTTATTGCACAGCAGCGGCAACCTGAATTTATGCTGTTTAGGGGCCAGAGAAGTCAGTTAGAGCTGCTACGTTGTCAATAAAAGATCTCCATACCTACAAAACCTTATATATAAAACAAAATAATAAACGTGTGTTCATTTTTCGGAAAGCTTTTTTCTTGCCATGGGGGTGGCACTGACCCGGGCGGCTCAGTGGACTACGGGTAAGCTGGAGGTCAGCCCGCTAAATGAGGCCTTACTAAAGGACATTGTGCACTTTGTGGAGCAGTTCAACAGCAGACACCCTCAGGAGGCGAAGCTGGTGTTTACTGAGCCGCTGCAGTGGACAACGGCTCTGCAAGCTTCTGATTTCACCTCAGAATATGAGCTCAGGTAACCATCAGCACTGCTTATTGCTATATAAGCTTGTGGAGGATTTGATCTCTGTGTTCCTTATGTTTTTTCTTTGGAGAACTCATAGTTTAGCTCTTTTAGATACATTTGTGTAGCAGACTTCAGTGAGACTCTGAACACATCACATCTGCGTATCTTTATTTTTTTTATCCCGTGGCTTGTGATTAGTTGTCATTCTTCTGCTTTTGCTGCTTGATTTAGATGAATCACACTAACACACTCAGATTTCACACTTTAAAATATATAAATATATGAGATGGCAATAATAGTTAAGAAATCATTTGAAACATTGTTTTAGCTATCGCATAGTCAACACATTAAATGGTTGGATGATAATACAATCAGTTGACACAATCACAGTACTTGATCAGTTACTCATTCCTCTGGAGTATATTGCTCATGGATCACAGACATGGAATCTTTTTTTTGGCTGTTAACATTTTTAGCTCATTAGACTAAGAAATAGAAAGCTTCTCATTTTGACGTGACATTTTTTGTTAACCCCTTTATATGAAAAAGTGCTTGTATGTGGGCCCGTTTTAATTCCTCACTGTCACAACTGTGTAACTTACATATTAATTTCATACCATATTAGGCACTGATGTCTTTTCTTCCTCTTTTAGTGGCTCCTCAGTGCACTCTCAGGATACTGATGAAGATGAACGTCCCCTCCTCCAGTTGATTCCTCCTGACATCTCTGTGCGCAGCTTCAGCCACCTCTCCAAACTGGTGCAGCTGGCTAACGACAGCAAACTCAAGGAAGTGCGGGCCTGTTTGGAGGGTATGCTCACAACAACTGGGCAACCACAAGCCTTAAGACTTGCAGCTCCAGTATTTCTGATTTTCATTTGCTTATGATACATTTTGTGAGTTCTGTTAGGTTGTTGAATGACTTTGTCTACCATATCCTCAGGTTAGTTTATAGCTGGTTGTTTCAGTTTATAATACTGCCAGGTTTCAAGAGCTGGATCTGTGACCTCATATGGTTTTTGACAGGCACTGTTGGAAGTTCATTACACATACTATCATGATATAAAAGTAACAGGAAATTGTAATTTCCCTTGAAGTGCATATGAAGAGAAATATTAGTGAGAACACTGTGCAGTCTGAGTGATAATGAGAGACTGATGTCTTGGTGCAGCTAACATGGAGCCTGTGGTGAAGATGCTGGGGCCAAACTTTACTACAACGGAAGGAAAGGACTCATCTGCAGAAGCTGAGCTCAAAGTGAAACTGCTCCTTATCCTGCAGCAACTGGACATGCAGCTGCTCAACAGCTCCATCACACAGCTCTCACAGTATGATCTGCATAATATACTATACACCAACAGTATTCAGTTCCAGTCCTGGAAGGCCAGTGTCCATCACAGTTTGTTGATTTTGTTGCTCAAATACTCTTTCACTGCCAGGTTAAGTAGGTGTGTTTGAGAAGGGAGCAGAAAAAAGAGAAGAAAGATATGCTGGACACTGGCCCTGTAAGACTGGAATTAAATAGCCCTGCTATAGATAATTGATAGACTATCATCCATCCATTCATGTTATGTTAACTTATATAAATACAATTGTCAGGACAATGTTTGTGAACTCTTTTCTGAATGACTCCTAAAATGTCATCTGATCTAATGTGATCATACTAAATAAAAGCAGAAATATTTAACATATAGTATGCACAAAATTCTACATTGCTATAACTGTATTATAACTATATTACTACCTTAAAAAGGTTCAAATGGATATCATTGATGGACAAAGTATATGAAGCTGTAGAATAATGACCTCTGAAAAAGAGGATGTATTTTAGTCCATTTAGCGTTTAAAAATGACTTGCCCAGACATGAAAGTAGCAGTTTTGGTTATCTGCTTTTTATCATAGAATCCTTTTTTAACATAGCTTTTAAAGCTATGTTGAAAGCTTTGCTGCCCATCTGCTCTTTGTTAATGACCACCAGGATATTCTACAGCACTACTGAAACAATGTTCTGCAGACAGGCAGATCTTTGGGGTTAACTGTACACAAGAGATTTGGAGAAAACAAAACCCTACATGCCAACACCAAGACCTCCTCCCAGCTGTGCAGCATGGTGGAGGGAGTATAATGGTATTTCTGGTGTTGGGCTGCTTTGCTGTCTCAGGGCCTGAGCGGCTTCCAGTTGCGCTGAGGAAACAATGTAATCCAAATCGTATGTTTAAATTCCACAGAATATCAGGGTGTCTGTTGGTGTTGTAAGTTGGTACATGCAAAATAACAATGATACAAAAAACAGAGTAGCTTCAATGGAAGAAATTTTAGATTTTAGAATGTCCTGACCTCACTTCCATTGAAATTACATGGTGTGATCTGAAGCAGGCTGTTCAAGCAAGACACCACAAAAATATGCATGAACCGAAACGGTTTTGGATAGAGGAATGGGCCAAAAATTCGTACTAACCGCTGGACAGGACTGATCAGTGACTACAGAAAGCATCTGGTTGAGGTTATTGCCAATAAAGGAGTTTCCTAGTAACTAAATATAAGGGTTCAGTGAATTTTCCATCAACAGGCTTTGTTCGGTGTAGCACTGTATGTTTTTCTTTTTGTTGTTGTTTGTTAAGTAAGACTGTCTTTATTCACTATTATGACTTCATGAAGAGCTGATTGTAATGTCATTGATTCAGAAGTCCAGATAATTCCAGAGTTCACAGCATTTTTCTCACAACTGTACAAAGGTACAGTAGATGTCTGAACACTGACTGTACCTAAAGCCATCGTTTGTTAATTAGCAGCAAAACTGTATCCTATTTTAACATTTGGTGAACAGACTGTGTTTAACCACATGTCTCTTGTGTGCTTGTGCTCAGAGAGGTCAGGCTGAGTCCAGCTGCTGTAAAGCGTGATGTTGAGCTGCTGAAGAGTGTGTGTGGTGGCGGAGAGAAGAGGCTGCTGAAGTCAGTGTGCTACACATCAGGTTTGCATTACTCTCTCTCCTCCTTTGCCTCTCACCCTCTCATTTTCCTCCACTCCATCTCTTTCTCTCTGTCACTCACTCAATTTCAAATTTACTTTCGCCCTCCTGCTTGTAATGTATACTAGTTTGGGCATATGTTTCTCTCTCCCTCACTCCTCGAGCGACCACCATTAGTGGGCAATGCTGGATATCCTTTAAATATAAAATGTCTGTGTTCAAGCCTCTTCAACATGGAAACCATTACATATGTCAGATTCTAGTTTACAAAGAGATTCATCAATTCCACCTCTCTCCCTCATGAGAAGGGGCAGATTTGCCATAACAATTAAATGTTTGGGGAGGAGAGAAGCACGCCTTGCAAATTCCGAATGATGAATGTGCCCACATTTGAAAAATACATCCCCCTACGCCGGGGACAAATTGGAACCGTCTATGCAAATAAAGTCGGGGGGAGCTGGAGAGGATGCGCATAGCGGTTTGGATTATGTGGAAGTATTGGCGGGCATATTTGGAGAGGGTGATTTATTTGGGGGTGAAATCAGCGCTCTCACCCGGGCTGTCTGCAGAAGCTCCATGCTGAAGAGCCATCAGTCATCCTCACTGGTAGCACTTCGGCAAGCAGCCCACAGCCTTCCTCATGGGGGCCTGCACTCTTTCAGTCTGCCATAAGCAACCGTTTACTGCACACACACCTCTCTTACCTACCGAGGAGTACAGGCCAGTTATTGCACGCAAACAAGTCACATGCATGATACTCCTTTTTTGGTTCTGCAGGTGATATGCAATGCATGTCAATATAAGTATACTTTACAAAGAGTCCTATTTAACAGTCTCAGGTCACGTGAGAGAATTTTATTTAATGCTGTTTGTCTAGGCAGTAAATATTCATTCGATTAGAAAAACAGCATTAGAATAAATAGAAAATAAATGTAAGCGTAATCATTCCAAACTGCTCTGATTTGGTTAAATATTGCATAAAGCAGTGGTCGCCAATCCTGTTACTGGAGATCTGCTTTTCTGCAGTTTTTAATTCCAACCTGCTTCTAACATGCTGCCCCCTCCTTACCTAACACTAAAGCATCTGGTCCAGCCAATTTAGAACTTCTGAAGGCATTAATTAGATAAAGCAGGTGTAACTGATTGTAGTTGGAACTAGACTCGGCACCAACAGGATTGGTGAATACTGGTATAAAGTAATGCAAATGTAAGTTGTGCCATTGGTGGCATCCATGTGATGCTGAGCTGCGTTCAGGACAAGAGGAACAAATGTGTGTTCTAATCATCTCATAACATATCAATAACTTTTTGGAAAGTTGGAAGAAATTACAAACAGATGAAGTTTAAGCAAGTGGCCTTAAATGGCCTAAGAACTTTGCAGAGCACTGTAGATAGGTACGAACCTTTTCTTACTTAGTCAAATGCATTTGATTCTGGTGTCCTCACTCAAATCCAAAGTCTCAAACTCTCAGGTTTCAAGATACTGGCTCTGGTGTAGAGTAATGGGCTCCTTTATTTATTCATCTTAAAGAGACGATCTTTATCTTGCGTTCTCTGGATGACTCCACAGATTATGAGTTCAGCAATGGCTGCCGCTCACCTCCATGGAGGCAAGTGCATGGAGAGATTGCCTACCTCATCATCGAGCCGTGTGACATAGAACCACTGTTCATCACCTGCAGCACTGCTGGAGTCTACCTCAATTCGGTGAGAAATGCTGTTATCACCAAGTCTAGCTTAAAGAGTCATTTGGCCCGTAAAACATGATTAACCTTAATGAGGAATTCCTTCCATTATTCCAAAATATCTGCATAATTAAAAGATTAAGATGATAACAGAGTAATTTGTTGTGGTCTAATGTGTGAAAAATATACCAAATCAAAATTGTGTACAGTGGTTGTGATAGGACCCAGATGTCTGAAGTGTTTGATGCCTCTAAAAGCTAACTGGAAAAGGTTATTATGGGAAATAGTTATGAAATATGCTGCCTGATACATGAGACAATGTTTTACGATAGTTTCAAGACAAGGTTTTGGCGTGTATTTATCCAAAGAAAACTTTTTTTATTTGTTTGATACATTTTTTTGATTTATCATTTTACCATCACTTCCCATTTCTTACATCTGGTTTTAGACTGCCGCTTATTTTAGTGCTGGTTTTAACAAGCCCTCGTCCCCTTATCCTCACCACATCTCTTTGGGGGAATCCCTGATGTCATCTTAAGGGCCATTCTATTACCTTATTACCTTAAGTGAAGTGTGTTAGATGATCCCTCAGAGGGGTGTTTGATAACTTCGGCAGCAGAACTTGACTAGAAATCATCGCGACCTGATACATTTGCCTTTTTTGAATGACTGATTTTGCTAGTCAGCAAGCTAAAGGCTACACAGCTAACACGAAAGGCAAGGCAATACATCACAGCTTTAGACCAAAGTTTATATCCAGACAAAGCAATTATATACAAATTTTATGTATATTATTTTCAAACCTCAATAAAAAATGTTTTGCATTGCATAGTTTGCATGGCTAGCTAATTATCTCACTGAGGCTAAACTAGTAGAGATCGAGTGCATCTGAGTCAAAGTTCATGTGACCTCTTTAAAAAAGTATTGAAACAGGAACTAAGAATCCATATTGCAGGATATACGTGAACAAAACAAATTTACGTGGTGAAACTGTAGTCACATTTGGAAAACACTGGTTTGGAAAAAGTCTTATTTCATGTGGATTTTGCTGTTTATACTTCTTCAAATCTTTCTTGCTCAAACTGCATATGCCAAAAAATCTGATTTGAGCCACTTGTCTGAACAAAGACATTATTTGGTAACTGCTATGAAACATATATAAGTTATGTAGTTATGAGAATGAGGAACTGAAGTGAAGACCTTATGGTTTATGGGGTTGAGTATTTTGTCCAAATGAAACAATTTCTCCCAGAGCACCGAGTGTTTGCCTGCATAGCGATATGTGGAAAGTGTACCATACTTATGATATGAGTTTGTCCTCACTTATTTGAGCATGTTTTGTATCAGACTGTTTCCTCATGGCAGTCTTTTGCGACAGTAAGTCTGTAACCCGCTAATCCTAGCAGGCCTAGTTTGAGTGGCTTGTGGGGGATGAATGGATCCCATCAGGATGCTAAATGGTGCAGCATGGTTTTTCTACAAATGAAATGTGTCAGCCTGTCAAGGAAACTAATGTCGTAAGATAATTTTAATGTACACAACGAGCTGTTAATGTGTGTGAAAGAAATGATACACAGACCCTTTTCCAAAACATGAGGTAAGCGAAATTGAAAAGTTTAGATATGCACTTGTGTGGTTGTGGGCCAGCTTTGCTTCTATAACTATGCTAAGTGTTTCGAGCTGCCTCTCAGACCAAAATGTGTGTGTAATTAATCAATGGGAACATTTTACACACCACAACATTCCCCTTTCTCTCATCTAGTACATTGGAGGAAGGTGAACACATTTCCTCTCTTTCCTTTTCGTTCTGTCGCTCTTTCTTTTTCTCACAGCACATATCTGTTCATGTCACCTTCTCATAGTGGGGATGAGGTCAGGTTTAAATGGTTGCTCCAACTGGGTTACAGTGATGTTAATAATAAAGAACCCTCAGGAATTCTAAAGTTCCATGTGTTTTTAAGTTTGCGTGTGTGTAGTGATACTCTTAAGTTTTGGCCCCTAGATTGTTGACCCTTCTAGCTGGCTCTTTCAGCCACCTTTTCCCAAAAAAACTCCTTCAGTGCCAGTAGGTGTAACCACTTAAGCGTCTCTGCCAAAGGTCCATGATGCAGGCCGTGCACCAGGATGCATTTACTCTCACTGTTTTAGACCATCTGTATTTTGATTTTACAGGGAATCAAGCAAGAAGGAGAGGAGAATGCTTATGAGAGAAAAAGTGATGTCTACAAAGACCTGGTCACACTTCTCAAGAGCAAGTCTCCACACTTTACTGAGAGCATCAATAAGCAGGTAGTGTTTTTGAAACCTGAGAAAAAAAATTAGAATAGATCTGTGTTATTTTCAGCCATAAGAACAAAATGATAGATGATGTATGTATTTGCCTATTGATTGTATGAATTGTATTTCACATTATTAAAGGGGAATTCCACCTTTTTAAAAAATTTGCATAATACAATGGTTGAGATGTAAACAAAGTAATTCAGAGTGGCCTGGTGTAAAATGGAGCATTGTAGGGACATGTACCGACCTAGATTTCTCTACAGTGATATATGGTGGTGATATTGTCTACCAAAGAGCCATATTGTCTGCAACACAAATATAGCCATTTTACTACCAATTATCCAAAAAGACCAGTGAACCTACACGTCTTCTGAGGTTTTTTTTATGTATTTGCTTACCATTTAAAAGAAGTTCTGAACTTCTCAACATTTTTTTCTCAATGCTGCGGCTCCCATAATCCCCTGAGCAGGAGTCCAGTGCAACATTAGTACTGAGGTGATAATTAGCTTGATCATCTCTCAAAAGCACTCAGTAATGCTGATATAAATAACTGTTTCATTACAGTGATTTATCAGTCTACTCAGGCTTTAGCAAGATCTGTTTGTAAATAAGCTGTGAAAGTAAGTTCCTTTTATCTAACAAGCATGCTTGCTGCATGCTGTTCACTGGTTTTAAAATACTTAATAAAGCATTGGTGTTTCTTTTAAAGATGGTATATATCAGTTACTTATTTATTTATATTATACTCCTATTCTATTACATCTCAAACCTGATTGCAATTAGGTGCTGTTATTAATTTGAGCTTGAGCTGTGTCCGTCATCAAGTATCGGAAACAAGATAAATAATCAGCCAATTTGCCCACTTTAGGCTTGTACTTTAACAGCTGTACACAATGGACAAAAGAAGACAATTGTAATTATTTATATGCCAATTTATCATCAGCTAAAATTTCATGATTGTGATTCTCCTTGTTTGACAAAAGCTGTGCGCTACGTTTTCTCATTGAGTTGAATGGAGGTTTTGCCAGTGTTCTCTAAAACTTGTACAACCTTGCAACAGCAACTACAAAAGAATGCATTTGTAGGCAGAGCATGGACAGGTCACTTAATGAATCAAGTACAGAAGCTCCCAAAGCTTCCAAAACTCCAAGAGGAAGGAGAAATTATAGCTCCTCAAGGTGAGGGCCTTCCTTCAGAGTTTTCCCAGTCGTGAGCAGCAGGTGGTGGTTCGTGGGAGGTTTTTGAGAGATGGTGTGCATGTAGGGGTTGTTAGTCCTTCGTGCCCCTCAAGGACGCATGACATCATCCTGTGAGTCAGTCACCTTCATCAGACGCACACACACAACCAATCAGGGCCAGAGCTCAGCTGTCTCACACTCCCCTGTCAAGATAAATGGGAGGGCTGCGACTGAGAGGGTGAAAGAAAAACGTACGCACACAAGCCGCGCAGACGTCCTCCGAGCAGATCAGAGCCCGCTCACTCACTCGCTCACTCACTCACTCACTCCTGAGGCTGCAGTGTGAAGTATGCGCTCTCAGATTAATCACAGCTGAAGAGAGGAGCGGAGGACAGAGTGATGGGAAATCAGTGTCTGCTCTGCACTTCGCTGTGAGATAGTGTCTGCCTGTCACAGGGAGAGAGAGACTTTCTCTTTCCTTCGTTGTGCTGTTTTTCACATCACCGCAGTGTGAAAGAATGTGAAAACAGGCCAGTTACTCAAGCCCCCAACCGAAAAAACAAGTCAGATACACTTCTGAAAAATCAGTGATTCATTCAGTAGTGCTGTTTCCTGCTTTAGTGACTTGATAAATTAACAAATCGCTCCCCAACAATGACTTCAAGATATGGAAAAAAATGTGTTTATCATTTGGAGAATTTAGTGTTTCTCACCAGTGACTATATTTGTTGGAAAAATGAATATTTTCGCAAGATTGGCGACATTTACAGGGCCAAATATGTACAAAGTCCTTTGTACGTGTTATATATTTTCACATTTTTAGAATGAAATGCCCTTAATAGATTACCATCTCCCAATATTTGAGAATTGGCTCCCCTGCTCCGTGTCTTATCTCAGTTTTTTAAGTAGTGCAGGGCAATAAATACTTTCTTGTTGATGCAAACAAAGGCTCCTGTCCAAGATGTACTTTTCATTTCTTTAAACAAAGCCTTCAAATCCGTCCTGATGGTTTATGCCGGCTCTTGGCCTTTTTTACAACCAACATAATTCTGTCCTTGAACGATCATAACGGAAACTCTATCACATAGACAGATTTCCGTTTATGTTCTTTGGTAAATTACAGTGATGTTATCTCATTGCGATATATAGTTTGCAGATGGAAAATGAAAGGCAGACAGCAGTATCTATGTTGGCTTGTGCTGCGGTGATTATAGCTAATGGCTGGTCTAACAGTAAAGGCGAGAACTACTGCATGCTGCTCCCTTAAGTTACCTTGAGGACAGAAACTTTGGAATGTTATCTTCCTGCACTGTTTCTACATCTGAAGCCACTGACTGAGACACAGATTAAGTTTATCCCAGGATTACAGAAGGTCCTTCAATAGAGCTGTCCAAGTAAAACTGGTTTGGAGTCCAGCAGAATGCTTCATTTTGAGAGTTTGAAGGTATGGCCCTTAGAGAATTTGCTCAGTAGCTCTGCCCACCTGGAATCCTTCTTGCCGTTGAGGAGTGACAAATTTTTAAATGACAAATGCTCTGCTGAGTAGCACCACTGCTCTCAGGCTGGAGGAGACTGAGAGAGAGTGGAGGAGTCTGTAGGGAGGTACGCCTGAAAACAGACACTTTTCAGCTGAAACTTTAAGACCAAATTCTACCTTCAACAGCAAATTATTGTTCAATCAAAAAAGCCCCCAAAATGAAATTAAGGCTTTTGCACTTGTCAAGTTGAGGTGTCGTAGTTGTGACTCCACTGTAAACTTCAAACAGCTGTTCATCCGTCAGCTGAAACGATTGGTTGACTCTGTCCAGTTGAAGGATGCCATCCCAGTGCTGCTCCTTCTAATGTATCCTGCAATACCAATGCATTCTTGGAACCTCTGTCTGAACAGGTTTGCGCTTTTTTGTATGCAGAGTGCACCAAGACAATCTTCTTAAATGTGTGTTTTTTCAATGTTCATTCTTAAGAAGAATATCAGGAAAAATTGTTACTATTCAAAAACTTCTCTTAATCTTTTTTTGAGAATTGTATTTAAGAACATTCTTATATTAGGAACTTATTAAGAACTTCTTAGTGTTTGTCATAAGAACCTTTCGTGAATTCGGCCCCTGTTGCATATTCTTGTTGTAGCACTGGTGGTTGGCTGTGGGAGCGACACTGAGGACAGGGCAATAAAACTGGGCATGGTGGTAGCGGGTTGGGCTGGATTATGAGTGGCAGTGAATAGAAAGACATTATTATTCTCTGAGGAGAGGATGCCAGGCAGTCAGGCCTGTGTGTGTATGCTTGTGTGTGCATAAAAATGCCCTCCAAGCTTTCGTGTTTTACAATGCCAGCAGCAGGAGCTTGGCCATGAGCACGACCAGCTGAGGAGGATTGACAGACAGGCTGTAAAGAAAAGAGTTGAACAGAGTCCACTCTGACTAGCCTGTACACTTCCGTTAAAAAGTTTGGAGTCACTGTTCAAAAGTTTGGAAACAGTGTTGTTTAGGAGTTTAGGCACCCCTGAACAAGTGATATATTTTGTGAAAAGTGAAAAGAAGTAACACACAACTTTTATTGTCTGCCAATATTAATGCACAATTACTTCATGTTTGGTTAATTTAAAAAATAGACAAAAAGTAGTTGTGGCATGTACAAAAGTTTGGACAACCTGCTAAGTTAGTACTTAGTAACAGCCCTTTTGGCAGATACAGCTTGGAAATGCTTTTTGTAGCCTGTAAGGAGTCTTTCTTTCTTGTTTTAAGAATTTCCACCCTCTAGGTCTGGAATATTCGGTTTTTAATTTTGGGATTCTGATATTTCTTTCTTTTTTTTGCCTAAATGTAGGCTATCAATAAAGGCAAACTGCAAAATACTGTAATATTCAGGATTCTCAGGAGAAAATTAGATGACTCAAGGTTACAGTCCATAACACAGCTTTATTTTTAATTTGCTGAAAACAGCACCAAACATGGTGGAAAGAAACAAAGCCTCCACCACTAACAGCTAAAACACAGCCCTCTGATCTACTCTGGAAACTGTTCAGTGGGTGACGTAACAACGTAGCTAAACCAATCAAATAAGTTCAGTTCACTCACACAGACGCCAAATAAATGAAAGCAGTGCACAAATTTAAATACACCATTCAAGAAACAACAAATCTTCAATCTAACACCAATTTCTGATTGTTAAATGGTGCTACTAACCAGGAGAGTTCTCTCTTTCTTTGCACCTTCCCTGTCTGTGATTTCGCTAATCATATTTGCAGACAGTTCGAGGAGGGAGTGCTGTATGTGTCCTCACTCAGAGTTAAGCAGCAGTGTCCCAGGCTGATGTTCACTCACCTGAATCGTCCTCTCCAGAGGCATACTGACTCATCGATCGCACACAGATAAAGCTACCACCAGTGTGGAGGGGGCTGCTGCTGTGTGAATTGAATAATCTGCTTCACCCCAGAGGCTCATTTCCTCTGGATCACCGCCTGGGCTGCAGTAATAAGTCTACTCCGACACGCTTTTGTCATCCAGCTTGCAGCCAGAGCCTGATTACGGCACTCGGAGAGGCTGAACACGCACCAGCTCCAAGTCAGGGCCAACACAGGGGCCAAAGACAACATGCTGTATCTCCTGACATATCAGTTCCTCAGAAAACCGATGCCTTTTCACACTTTTATTAAATCAGACACTTTCATTCAAATGTGCACGGCTGGGCCAGAGCAAAAAGGGGCTCCCATTAGGGAAAAGCAATCAAGCTGGACTGTGTTTGAAGGTGCAAAGTTCTTGATTAGTACACTGCTTGCATTAATATGCGTGGTCAGACACTGACACAAGGAGAGGGCGTATCATTTAAACCCCTGTCCTTCCTTTAGTTCTTTGTTCTTACATGTTCTGGCACTCTTTTTTCATGTCACTCTGTTATGGGCCAGAGCATGAGCTGGATGTGGCCAAAGCACTGTCATGATCTATCTGGAGAAGGTGTGTGTTTGAGTTGCTTTTCTGATGGCTAATGTAGGCCTGACAGCTGAGAATCTGCTCCTGCTCTTCTCTGTGCTTCTCATTTTCCATCCATGCAAATCTAAGCATCTCCAGTTCACCCAGCACATGGAAAAACAGTAACAAAAACAGTAAGGTTGTATGTCAACTTTTCAGTCGTAGCCTGCTCCTGAGCAGAAATGCAAGCCTTTTGGTTTTTCTGAATGCTCTGCTCGTGTTTTGACAAGCGCTTCTCTGTTTAGTGGCTTGCGTGCCATATTGGAGCACCGCTGCTTCTCACATGTTCCTGGACTGAGCAATTACAGGTATATTAAATAAAGGCGGGTGGAGCTGGACTTTGGCTGTTCCAACCACTCGCCACTTTAGACTTTTTATGACTAAACAAAGTTCTGGAAGGGACAGTGTGTGCTTGGCACTACCAGTTCAGTACAAACACACTTATTCATTTTTTCTTTTTCATTCTTCTTACGTTACCTTTTTAACTCATTAATGTACACGCAATACTATTTGTGCTGTTTAATCCACTCTTCTCCTTTAACAGTGTGATGTCTTAAGTCTGGTATTGTGTAAATTTTTCTAGGTAAAGAGCTTGATTTAACACAGTCTTGCACCATCAGGCATGATCTCTTAAAGGCCAATTTATAGTCCAGGTAACAAGTGTCGCTCGACCAAAAAAACCTGTGGTTGACAGTTGTCACAGCACTACAGGCTTTCATAGTCCTGTGCCAGGAACAAAACGTCAGAATAGAACATCATCTGTGCATTCTGTGAAGACTTGTATGGCAACGCAGCTAATTACACTGTCTCGGTGTGCATTTGTGTTATTTTTTTGTCGAGTAAAACTTGGGCCTGGACTATAACTATATGAGTGTGTTTTAACCTTTGGTTGCCATTTATTAAAACAATAATAAGCCCTTACCATCTGAATTACAATCTGATTGTGTGTGTGCGCGCTCGCTCAGAAACCATCATAGTGCATCCAACAATAAAGGCAGTGTTGTGCTTCTTTAATACAGTGATAGAAGCTGTGGTAGCAGACAAAACTCTAAGTACACATGCTGATCCATTTCATTATACTCAACGTGGACATGCTCATGTTCTAACTACTCTAGGGGCAACATGGGTTAAAAGGAGACAAAGCCAGTCTCTGAATGTATTTGGTTTGATAGGGTTAACTCAGCTCCCTCACTATGTCAGCTGGAAGCAGCCAGAGGAAGAATGGTGGCAGTTCTGGCTATTTTCTGCCTAGCAGGTGTCTGTGATTAAAAATGGCTCGGCCTGCAAACAATTCGTGTGCTGCACCCTGTTGGCATGCTCACGGAGGTAGTAAAAGAGAGAGACCTTCAAAACGTCAAAAATCATCAGTGAGTGGCATGGCCACAAAGACTCGACTCAGACTGTGCCAAACTGCCAAGCTACAGCAAGCGGAATGTACAGAAATAATAAACGTTTCATATTGTTCAGCCAATTAACGGAGGAGGCCTATGCACTGCACTAGCCTAGAAAATCTGTTTCTGTTTTTTTCCCCTCTTTTTTCGTCATTTACTCCCCATAACTCAATAAAAAGTGGATTGTTATTCTGTCAGTGGACTGTGGAGAATGGCTGTCTTACTGAGAAGTCTAGTGATACAAATTCAAAAGTGTGATTTAGTTTTATATGTCTCCTTCGAAGGACAAGCAGTCCGGCCACGCTCAGGCGCAAGTATGTGATGTGTCTCTCCAATACAGCAATAAAGAGACAACATGTCATATGTAGGCTGGAAAATATGCTGCTGAGCGTTATCACAGTTTCACCCACAAGGAACGGAGGACTATGTTAAAAGAACAGCCATTCAGAGGAAGAACTCCTTTTTAACAACTGAAGTCTGTATAATTTTACAAGAGCAGTTTATTATATATTTTACAGCTTGCATTTCAGTGCAAATTAAGACAGGTTCTTTTCCTGAATGTCTTCTCATATCTTTTTTTTTTTCTACTTTTTGCTCTTTTTTTTAAACCCCTTTACAGGATTTTGTCATTCAAGGAGAACCTCCGACCACTCTGAAAATCCCACATGTGGAAACCGTCGATGTGGAGGAACGAGGCCAAACCCTGAGGTCTTACGAGCATCAGCAAAAGAATGTGCATGAGAAGTCGAGACAACAGCTCGCGCTGAACAAGTCAGGCGGCGTGAAGAAATTAGAACCATCTTTGAAATGGAAGAACCTCGGCCTCACGTCCCCTCATGAGTAAGTGACTCCTCTGTCTCATGTCCCCTCACGAGTAAGTGAGTAAATTGATTCCAAACCCCTATAGACACCCTAACGAGTGTCCCTAGAAAACAGTATCAGGGTCCTACAACCTACTGATGCCCACATCTGAAAAAGCAGTCTGTGAAATACACTTAAGCAGTCACACTTTATAAGGAGATGGTTAAGTTGTCTATAAATCATGAGGCGAGAGCAAATATCGGCAGCTCCTCTCTTATAGGCAGGCGTTAATGGTTGTATTTTCGGCATGGCACCATTACACTCTGCAACGACCAGCTGATAAACCCGCTCCTGATGCTTCACACATGTTCCCCCATCCACAGATAGATCTAACAGAGCTGTGAGCTCTTCCAGTTGTCCCCTCCTTCGTCAGTTACTTCTCCTTTAGCTCTTTCAATTGCACATACATTTATTTGGAAAAATAGCTTTTTCACAACCTTTCATAGAAACAGCTATTTCATTATGATTGTTTCTTTCATTTTCATCAGTTATTATGGGGAAATCCACTGAATTCAAAACTTAAAAATTCTGCATAATTAAATTATTGTGATGTAAGAAAAGTCTTTCAGACTGGTTGTGGAATGTATTGTAGAGAAATTCAGATTTTCTGTACAGTGGTAGTGATAGGAACCACGGGTTACAATGTTGACAACGCTAATGTAGCCATTGTATTTACACTATTATTTTTCAGAGTATTATATGTAATGTCAATTCAGATTTCCTGTACAGTGGTAGTGATAGGAACCAGGGGTCACAATGTCTACAACTCTAATGTAGCCATTGTATTTACTCTATTATTCCTCTGAATATGATATGTAATATTTCTAATGGTAAAATTGTGGTGGGAGCTAAAATGGTACAGTTCTATTCAAACATTTGGGCTCCCTTGGTTAAATAACATGTTTTGTTGATTTTCTAACTGAAATAAACACATCCTCTACAGAGAACACATTTCTGCACATATTAATGCACAATTACTGTTTGTTTGCTGAATTTAACATACTGGGGAAAAAAGTGTGAAAATGTACTGGCACATTTCACATTTTATGTTTTGTAAAGAGCCAGTGTGAAAGGAGCTGATGAGATGGGTTACATTTACAATTATGCAGAAATTTTGAAACACCTGTGGAATCCCCCTCTAACTTTAACAGTCATATGACAAATTTACAAATTTATAGTTACAAATTTTGTTGTGTATCTTGTAGTATAATAATAATTATAAGACCTGTTTGGATACAATTATTTATTTTTCTTTCACTTCCTAGCCTGGACAAACTTCATAGACTGTTGGCAAACATACTGTTTGACCTGATGAGAACTTGCAGTGCTCAATTTTTGTCACAGCAAATATTTTTATATTCCAGTGAATATTGATAAGCCACACACAGTGTTTAGAGGATGCAGAACATCATCAGGTCATGGATGCTTGCAGGAGCTGCAAGGCAGGGAGAGACAACTGAACAAAAGCCTGTCAGTGTGACCTTTTAGACACATACAAAGTGAATATGATTTAAAATGACTAACTCACTCTAAATGAAAGTATTTTGGCTACAAGCTGCAGTTTCTCTGTATGTTGAATGGGATCTTTAGAGCTTGTCCAACCTAGCAACAGTTGCTAGTAGGTATGTAACAATGCATTGTAATTATGATATCACAATGCAATGAAACAATGTGAATTTTATTAATTAAACCATCTAATGCAATTGCATTGTTTGAACACCAAAGTTTGCAAACAGCCTGCGCACATCAACAACCCACTCCAGCCGTTCAAGTCTTATCACGCAGTGCTACCACTTCCCAGCTTATTAGGACGCTGGATACGGTCATCATTTTTCATCATTCACATTTTCATGTTCAAAATAATGTGAGAATATTGACTTGTGAACCCATTATGAATCAAAATAATACCCAATTCCAAAAAATGTTTGGAAAATAGACAAAATCAAAACAAACAGCAATGATTTGCAAATCTGTGATGTGTATTAAATAGAAAATAGTACAAAGACACAATATTTGATGTTTTAACTTAGTAAATTAGTTGTTTTTTTGGGTATATACGATTATTCAAAATTTGATGCCCACAACAGGCTCCAAAAAAGTTGGGACAGGGGCATATTTACCACTTTAATACATCACTTTTCCTTTTAATCATGTTAGATAACCGTGTGGGGAGCTAAGAACAATAGTTGTTATATGTAAAAGTGAAAGTGGAACACCTGTGTTCTCTCACTGTGAAGGCACGCTGCTTTATCATGAATAGAACAGAATGTAGCTTTGTATTGTCTTGCTGAAACAACCAGAGAAGTCCCTGGAAAAGACATTGTCTAGATGGCAGCATATGTTGCTGCAAAATGTGTGTGCACCTCTTAGTATAAATGGTGTCTTCACAGATGTGTAAGTTACACATGCCATTGACACTAACACACACCCCATACCATAACAGACGCTGGCTTTTGCACGTTGCATTGGGAATAATCGGGATGGTCTTTTTCCTTTTTGACCCAGAAAAATGAAGCCCATTATATCCTTAATTCATTTGAAAGGTGGACTCAAGTCATATCACAGCACTAGTTTCCACTCTGCATCAGTCCATCTCAGATGAGCTCAAGCCCAGAGAAGTCATTGGTGTTTCCGAATGTTGTCGATATATGGCTTCTGCTTTGTATAGTGCTTTGTGTAGTAACTTGCATTTGTAGGTACAGTAATGAACTGTGCTTGCTTACAAAGGTTTTCCAAAGTCCTGAGCCTGTGTAGTTATATTCATTACAGAATGTGAATGCCCATATTCACCTGTATACCTGTGGAAAGTTCCAAAACAGGCGTTTTTGATAGTTCCACAAACTTACCAGTCTTACATTGGCCCATCCCAACTTTTATGGAATGTGTAACAGCCATCAAATTTCGATTAAGCATATGTTTAAAATATTAAATATCTTTTCTTTGCATTTTACCAGATGCCCCAACGTTCTTGGATGTGGGCTTGTATACTGTTGGCTAGAAATTGTTGGCTAAAATGTACCGTCACACCATTTATTGCTACGAATGGACACATTTCTGGGCAGAGCCGTGATAGGTCAATTAAAGAAAAGCTTAAAAGGGTGATTGCTGTTAACAGCCAAATGTAAAAGGGCTTGGGGGGAAGAAATAACTTTTAGTGCCTGATTTCACAATAACCTAAGTGTTTATGGCACAAATACAGAGGTAATTCATTTTCAGTGTTTTGTTTTCATGCAGAGAAACTGAGGTGAAGAAGGCAAGAAAAAATGGAGGAGGTGAGAAAGCCACAGAAAGCCGGACCAAGTCCCCCAGGTCGGAGAGCAAGAAGAAGGCTGATTTTTCTGGATCTCCCTTACCAGGCCGTCTATCTTCACAGAAAACGTAAATCGCCGCACACTGATTCATAACATGCTGTGACCCAGGCAGAGGTGTTTCCAGTTAGAAGTTGTGTCTGTCACAGTCTAGGCTAAAATAAATACTGAACCCAAAATGCCTCCCAACATCAGCCCGAAACAGCTTCTCCTCGTTACATGCCTAATTGAATGAACCTTTAATCTCAGGCCCAAACGGACAGGCCCTTCTTGAATCATTGGCTTGGAAAAGGAGACTCTTTTTCACAGTGAATTATTTCAGCTGTAGGGGAGTTTCCGTCTTACAGTCCTAATAAGACATGGATGAGGTAGCCAATGGGGCTGGCATGTGGCCGCCACGCTCCTGCAGCCATAACGAGCTTTTCTGGGAGACCCTGGTAATTCTGCTCTCTCTATTGGCTGTTTCTTGTGTGTTCTATCTGACTGTCTGTCTGGCAGTGGAGAGCAGCATCTCCAGCTGTCCCATAACACTGGTTGCCAGAGTACACACAGTATACTGCCCTGCCTATAAAGTATGGGGAGTGCCTTCAGCCACTGAATTGTCCTACTGCTTCTCTGCCTTGATGCAGTTTAACTGGACCCCTGTGATCCACACAAAGGCCTGAACAATTAGCCAGGGGAAGAGCCTCTAGAGATCATCATGCACACATCACACATATGCTCACTGAGCACTTTATTACTATACCTTCTCCTTCATGCCTTTATCTAATCAGCCGATCTTGTGGCAGCAATGCATAAAATCATGCAGATACAGGCCAACAGCTGGTATGATTCTTGGTGCCAGATGGGCTGATTTGATTGTTTCTATAACTGCTGATCTTTTGGGATTTAGAGTCTCTAGAGTTTAGCCAGAACGGTGTAATAAAAATAAAACATCCAGTGAGCGGCAGTTCTGCGGACAGAAACGCCTTTTTGATAATAGAGAATAGCCAGTCTGGTTTGAGCTGACAGAAAGGCTACAGTAACTCAGATACTATTCCAGTACAATTATGGTGAGCAGGAAACCATCTTAGAATGCACAACATGTCAAACCCTGAGGCAGATGGGCTATAACAGCAAAAGACCATGTCAAGTTCCCCTTCTGTCAGCCAAGAACAGAAAACCGAGGCTGCACTGGGCACAGGCTCACCAAAACTGGATACCTGAAGACTGAAAAAACACCTGGTCTTATGATTTCTGCTGAGGCACACAGATGGTAGGGTCAGAATTTGGCACCAAAAACATGAATCCATTGACCCAACCTGCCTTGTGTCAACAGTGCAGGCTGGTGGAGGTGGTGTAATGGTGTAGGGAATGTTTTCTTGGCACACTTTGGGCCCATTAATAGCAATTGATCATCGCTTGAATGTCACAGCCTATTTGATTGTTGTTGCTGACCATGCTCATTGCTTAGTGGCCACAATTTGCCATCTACCAGCATGATAATGCAAAAGTCATCTCAAACTAGTTTCATGATCATGTCACTTAGTTCAGTGTTCCTTAGTGGCCTTCCCAGTCGCTGGATCTGAATCCAATAGAACACCTTTGGGATGTGTTAGAACAGGAGATTCGCAACATGAAAGTGTACCTGAAATATCTTAAGGAATTGCCTAATGCAATTATGTCAACATTGACCAGAATTTCAAAGGAGTGTTTCCTACATCTTTTTGAATCCGTGCCATGAGGTTGGTTTGAGAGCAAAGGGATGCCTTTCCCAGTATTAGTGTGGTGTTCCTAATAAAGTGCTTGGTGAGTGTATATCTTTTATTTGCAAGAAACTCATAACTGAAGCAACACCAAATGAAAAACACTACCTTGTACTGAATGCCCAACCCCACACATTGTATGACTTTGTTGATTTCAGTTCACTTTTTAGGTCTTTGAACCATGTTTAATGCAAAAGATTTTCAACAGGCACGTGCACATATAGACCCCAAAGGGTCAGGGGTGCATGACTCCAGTCCTGCACCTTTTGGCGATTTTCCTGCTCAAAACATCTGATTCAATTGATCTGTTAATTGCCAGGTTTAGTGGATCTGTTTGAGTAGGGGAACCACCAAACTGTGCTGGCCCTCCTGGACCAGAGTCGTACATGCCTGCTCCAGGTCGTCTGGAAGTTCTACGACACGACACTGACTGGGACATTTCAGTCAGGGGAAAACAGTGGCAGCTCTTTCAGGGTTCACTGTGAAACTGCTACAAGTTAAAATGTATGTTAAAATGTCTACTGCAAGCTTAAAATAAAATATGAAATGTCTTTGCAAGCTTCAAGTATCCACATCTAATCTAGAACGAACAAAAAATGTTCATGTGAAACGCTGTTAATTTAGTGCAGAATGTGAAAATCCTAAGGGTGCTGGCAGGAATTATCATTATTGTGGAGGTGTTTTTTTTTTTCCTTTTCTTTTTGACCTTTTTCTTAGTTTTGACATTTATGGCTCGAAAAAAAAGTTCAATTAATGTTCATGTGCAAATCTCTGTTACTACTAATCACACCTCAAACTACCATACTCCATTATATTTCATACTGTATAACACACACAGGCCTAATAGAAACACGGTGTTGATAGTGTGATAATAATTAGTACCTGAATGAGTGTTTACCATGGCATAGATTACACATAAAGAGCCTTGCCTGGCTTTGAACGATACAGCTTCTCCCCTGGAAAACATATCTGTGTCCCCCCGGCCCTTCCCCAGCTCCGGCCTGCGCTGTTTTCATGATCCTCTCGCTCCAATGGCCCTGGCTCTTTTAATGGCCAGCTGCGTTTGTGTGTGTGTGTGAGCTTTAAAAGAGACCTCTGAAAGTCTCTGATGGCCACTCCAGTCTTCTCTGCTCTCTCTCTCAATTTCTCTCCTACTCCCTCTCTCTCCTTCTCTTCTCTTGTATGTGCTCTCTCCATCCCCCGCTGCTTAGGTTGAGACGATGGCTTAAGCTGACACTTCAAATACACTCTTGAGCTGCGATGGCCCTTTTGGCAAACAGATTTACCATAAATGCTTTTCAGAGCACAGTAAGTCATTCTGCATTGGTGCTCAGGGTCCATGGCTTTCAGAGAGTTCCTCATGAGAGGATGGCCTCTCAAAGTGAAGTGGCTTGCAGATGCTTTGATAATGTTTCCGTGGTCTTTAGAGTTTGTTGCTACTCTTTTAGTTGTAAGGCTGGCTTGCTTTTGGTTACAAAGCTGCTCCACATATAAATATGGTTTTCTGAAATTCTCGCATCTGTCATTTAATGAATGTGTTTCTGATATTCTGTGCACAAAGGGCAAAACCACTTCTGCAGTGTACTCACGTTCTTTACCTGTGTTTAGTAAGAGCCCAGGTGGAGGAACAGGAGCTGAAGAGTTCAGTGAGAGCTCGTCTGAGAGTGAAGAGGATGAAGAGCAGAGTGAGAGGCGAGGGGAGAGCCACACTGACCTGCCGTCTGAGTACTGGCAGATTCAGAAGCTGGTCAAGTACTTAAAGGTATGCACTCTAACACTGAGTTGAATGAGTGAACATTGGCAGTTTCACTAATCAGTCACATACCTAAAGGTACACACATGCATACCCTCATATTAATATACGGATAAGTATCCCATAAATACTTTCAAATTCTGGAACTATTTAAATGTCTGATGGCATCTACTCTGAAGTATGTACTTTTTTAAGTAACTGAAGGTTCTCTCATGCTCACATAGTACTCTACAACAGTCAGAAGACCACCCTTCATTTATTTCATTTCCAGTCAAAACAGCAATCAAGTACAAGTAATTCATTTGTCAGCATCAGGAAAACAGAAGAAAACATATTTTACAAAATATTTAACAAAAAATTACACAGAAGCATCATATATAATATAAGTAAATATAAATATAATATAAAGCATGTGTTGTGTCCACCCTTTGACTTTATTAGCTTCCATTTGAAAGATGTGCTCTATTATATGCTTTCGCATCCTTTCAGAAGACTTGCTTTTAACTTTTCAAAGAAATCCGCAGGGATATTTTTCCATATCTCCAAAGCTCACTCTTTGGTGTTGGTTGCATTTTCTTCTTCTCATGATCCAAGTAATCCCAAACACATTCAATGATGTTGAGGTCTGGACTTTCGGGTGGACAGTCTATTATTCTGAGAACACTATCAGCTTCTTTGATTTCTTCTTTTTTGTAGTTTTTTCCTCAGTAATATCTTCTTGGCAGCTACACATCCTTTCAGACCCATAGAGTTGAGTTGTCTCACAGTGAAAAGATGGACAGAAATGCCTGTGGATTTTCTCCGATCTTTCTCCTCTCTCTTTTAAAGATGAAAGCTTTACGTACTGTTTATCTGATGGTGACAGTGTTGTTGGTCTACAGGTCTTGCACGGTTGTCAGGAGTCCCATTTCTTTTTTTGTCGTATATGTAATATCCTCAGAAATATCTCCTGAAAAATGAATAACGTGTGCTTAACAGCTGCTTTACCAGTCTCTGACTTTTGCGCAGTGCTGTACGTACATACACTAACACAATGTTCTAACTGCTGAATAGAAGTACATTTAGAAACTGGTTAAGTACATGCCTATTTTGTTTTCTGCTGTACTATTGATGAGCAAACCAAATAGTATCATGAAAGTGTTTAAGCTAAACAGTCCAAAATTCTTCATTTGCAAGAAACAGTACCAATGAACCACTGAACACAAAATATGATGTCAGTCCTGTACTGAACTTTCCATAGTTTTCTTTCTAATATGTTGAAAGTCAGGACCTGTTACTACTCAGACATCTAGTGCCATGTCTGCTGTTGAAAAGAAGCAGAAAACAGAGCTCTGAAACATGTACTACTGCATAGACAGTCCACAGCTACTGGCAGGAAACAGTAAAAATCACTCTACTGTAGCTGTCTTATAGGACTTTCTCTACTGACCGCCTTCACTGTTGGCCCATAGTATCACTGTGTGGAAGGAAAACATGATCTAAATAGATCTACGTAGTGTCTCGTTGACTTCATCTTTGTATTGCTTTCAACCTGTCAAAACATATATTGGTATCTTTGCCAAACTCTTTTAAAGTTATTTATGTGTTATTGTTATGACATGCAGGTATCTTTCATTGCATGTGTGAATACCCTACAAGTAATATCATGTTTGGTGTTATATTATTAAATTATGTTTATTCGTATGCATTTTTTAGAATGTGTCAGTCAGGTGAGTGTCTTCATTCATCTGTGCTGTACTTTGCCTTGCCCACAGCTGTATAAAGCCAGTGTTTATCTGGATGAGACAGCACACATGGGGAATATTAGTATGTCAGGGTGACAGTGAGTCCATATTAGACTGCTCTGCTGACCCAGACTGCCCTGGCACGGCTGTGCAGGCTGATTACGGATTCCAAACTGTTTATGCCGCTCCATAGATACCCTTCATCCAATCACATGATGTCACACTGACCACATCGGAATCAGAGTCTTTTTAATCGCAAAGTGCAAGATGCAGAAGGAATTTCTCTGCAGTTTGTAAGCTATAAAGTACACATATGTTATAAACTACATATAGCACAGTTATAAAGTACATATATCTAATACATTACATGTGGAATGGTTAGAAACTACATGTAAAACATATTGTTGCTGTTGGAACAAAATCTTATATCCCCAAAATGATGATAGACCTTCATAGTTTTCAATGTACAGCCATATGCAAAAGTTTGGGCACCCCGGTTAAATTGCATGCTTTGTCGATTTTCAGAATTAAAGTAAGTTAACACGTCCTCTACAGAGAACTTACTCATATACGCAGTTACTGTTTATTTGCTGAATTTAACATATTGGGGAAAAAAGAAAATATGAAATGTGGCTGATGAAAAAATTATGGCACATTTCATATTTTATATTTATAGCAAATAAATAGAAATCGTGCACTACAATTAGCAGACAAAATGCCATATTCAGGTTTGTTCCCTGTAGAGGATGTGTTAACTTTTTTACATTTAGAAAATCAACAAAACATTTAAATTGACCAGGGGTGCTCAAAGATTTGCATACTACTGTAAGTTGATATAGAAGAGATTTTGTTCCAACCAATTTTGGAGTATGTATTTTGGTTCAATCAGCATTCAATTTCCACACATTGTAAAGAGCAACTGGTATTTTCAAATTGTCAAAAAATGAAAAATGGAGATACAAAATTTTGTTCTGACAGCAACTATATATTAGCATCCGTGCTAAATATGTGTAATTGAAGACATGAGCATAGATATATTATGTATGTTTGTAATATTATATTGCTGTTGTCGGAAGAAAACCTCTTATCTCCATTATTGTCGTTTTTCAGTTTTTGACATAATGTGAAAATACCTGTTACCCTTTACACAGTGCGTAAATGTCATGATGAATGGACTAAAAGAAATGACCCAAAACGACTTGGAACAAATTCTGGTTCCATTGATTCACATTAAAAGTAAAGTAGGTTTTTTCCTTCTCCTGTAAAATTACCATTTTGGAGATACGAGGTTTTCTTCTGACAACAGCGATATGTACAGCTGATCACAGAAGATGAGAGACTTTGTTAGAGAATATTATGACCTGAGGAGAGGTGCTCTGCAAGTGCCAGTAACTAGGGTTCTTACTCTTGGACATCTGTAAGAGCATCATCACCAGCTATATAGAACAGACTGCAATCAGTTCATCTAAAGATCAGAGTGGTTTGTGCCCGATCCATAGTCAAAACAATCAGCTAAGATGTCATTCATAGGTAATTTATCTATAAATCATCTACTTTCCCGCCCTTAATCTGATAGATGCTTGTTATTTCCTAGCTGCCTAATGCTTGTTGGTAATCCTTTGTTTGGATATGCACAGCAGGCCTGCTGCTTTGAACACACTCAATGTGGATATTATTGAGGTATATTTTGATAGAATCATCTGCAGTATAACTGCTAAGTCATCGGAAGGAAAACAACCAGGCAAAGTCCAGCTGTAGGAAGGTATTTTTAGCTGAGCAGAACACTGGATTGAATGTAAATTTCCTAAAGAGAGGCATTCATCTTCTCTGTCTTTCAAAAACATAAAAAGAGGAACCAGACGTTTAATGAGAGATGTGGTAAATCTCAAAAAAGCAAATGCTATACTTATCATTGACCTTTGTGAGGATTATTTAGGTAAAAATGAGATATTAAGATGTTTGTTTCCGATACATTTGTCAGTCTTTTGGCAATATAGTGCACTGTTTCAGAATGGAAAGGATGTTTTATAATGTGACCTTTTCTGAATTCTATCTGTCTGGAAACCACAGTGCCCCTTATTTATGAGGGTTTATCCAGTAGCGCACTTATAATGTCATTACCATCAGAAGCTGAAACACAGCCTTTGCCAAACAAAATATCTGTTTTATTTTTGGAGTCAAGTTTCTTTTTTTCTACTCTTTTTCTTATTCCTTTGCCAGCATATAGACAAGCATTTATATTTCAAGAAGATGAAGTGTTGCATGAATGATATAAGCTGTGTTATAGTATTTATTTACCTTTGCATTTGTATGGCATGCATTACCGGTGCTGTACATTCGTACATGTTTGCTTTTCAGTGCACGTGCAAAGAAGGTAGTTTGCTCAACTGACTACATCCTTTCATGGTGTGCAATATGCGTGCGGATATTTTCACAGCAATATTAGTGTTATATTTAGAATTCACACATGTTCTTAGCCCACAGAACATATCACACTACGCTCCATTCACTTGTTGTGCTGATGGGTGAGAGAACAAGGTTTTTAAATGGAAATGCACAAGATTCCATAACCACATCAGCGGGTCGTGGAGGTAACCGCTGGGTATTTGTTTTATTAGCTCCAGCCTAACTGCCTTATTAGCTTCAATTAGAGATAGATGGCAACCGAAGAGCGTTTCGCAGAAAAATCCTCTCACACTTTGACAACTGCCAAGACTTTGCTGCTTTCAGGCCACGCTCTGGTCCTCATTAATCGCCTGGAAGTAAGTTAATCATTTGTGGCCTAAGACTCTTACGTGATGAAAAAGCATGCGAGATTTCTGCCAATATGATTAGCAAAGTTTTATTGCTGACCCAGTTCGACTGACAGGTTGGTGCAGTTTGTCTGTGTCTGCTCAGGAAATGAAGCTTTAATTAGCATGTCTCTTGTTGCAACAAGGCTTGTCTCAGTTACACTGTCTTCATTGTTCATACGCTCTCAGAAAAAAGGTATGAAGCTGTCGCTGGTGCAGTACCCCTTTCGTCACTGAGGTGGTACCTTCAAGGGTACATCTCTGTACCTTTAGTCAGGGAACATAATTGTGCCATAATCCATAAGTTGTATTGACTCCACACACCCTGTCTCGTCTCCAGGCTTTTTATTTTATTGTTCTGTCTTAAAACATTGTCATGAAAAGGTACAAATATGTACTTTTCACCTGGAAAAACTTATTTAAGGTACATAATTGGACCTTAAAACCACTGTTGTACCTTCAAGGGAACATTTACATTGTTTGAACCTTGATG